AACCTGAAAACTCAGAAAGTGAACAACAGAACATATGGGATTAATTCCAATAGAAACTGCCCGACCAAACCCACTTTTTGAAGACATAACTATGTTGTAGTAAAAATAACATCTTAATTTTTTATGATACATGCACACAATTAATACTTAAGAGAAATAGAGAAATACAGTCGCCAAGTTAATGTCCATTCAAATAATGGACTCAACTCCTCCCCTCTCACACTACACTGCCGGCTTCTTCCCTCTCTGAGAAAGTTTTGGGGGAAAACCACTAAATTTTAATAAATAATACCTCAAACCAAAGATATAAAATTGACATTGCTGATTCCTTGTAAGACCAGGAATATTTGAATATAAATGTCATATATTTGCACAAAAGATAAATATAGTTAAGAGAAAAATTTTTATCTAAAATTTGTATGTCTAATGCAAATATATGATGTTTATATTCAAAATGATCACCAAAATTATAAGAATTCCAGCAATGTAAATTATATTCTGACCGGTAATTTGTATGAATTTATGAGCTAAAACAAATATCTTCAGTTAATAAAAAAAATATTCTTCACAGGGTAACAGATGGTCGGTCGGTCCTCCTCCTCCTTCCCCCACCCCCCACCAACCGCCCCAAGGAGATGTGGGAAAACCAGAATACTTAACTTTTTGTAATAAATAATACCTCAAACTAAAGTTAGGATAATATAATTGACATTGCTGGATTCTTGTAAGACCAGGAATATTTTGAATATAAATGTCATATATTTTGCACAAAAGATAAATATATAGTTCTGAAAATGTTTATCTAAAATTTGTATGTCTAATAAAATATATGATGTTTATATTCAAAATGATCACCAAATTATAAATCTCCAGCAATGTAAATTATATTCTGGCCGGGTAATTTGTATGAATTTTATGAGCTAAAACAGGCAGTCAGGCAGGGTGCGGGTGGGCAAATCAAAAAGTAGGCCCTGAATGACCTCACAGATATGGAAAAAATGCAGTTATGAAAAAACTAATAAAAGGCACGTATATGATAAAACGCTGTTATGAAACCAGTAAAGCGGGTAAATGTATGTATGTATGTATATATATATATATATATATATATATATATATATATATATATATATATATATATATATATATATATATATATATATATATATATATATATATATATATATATATATATATATATATATATATATATATATATATATATAGAATCTCACTTAACGTCAATTGAACCCAGAGGGTCCTGCAAGTGAACAACAGAACATATGGGATTAATTCCAATAGAAACCGCCGACCCCCAAACTCCACTTTTTGAAGGCACATACCCATAAGTAAAAAACATCTTAATTTTATGATGGTACATGCAACAATTAATACTTAAGAGAAATAGAGAAATACAGTCGCCAAGTTAATGTCCATTCAAATAATGGACTCAACTCCTCCACTCTCACACTACACTGCCGGCTCTCTCTCAGAGAAATTTTTGGGAAAACCACTAAATTTAATAAATAATAACCTCAAACTAAAGTTAGGATAATACAATTGACATTGCTGGATTCCCCTAAGACCAGGAATATTTTGAATATAAATGTCATATATTTTGCACAAAAGATAACATAGTTACCTAGAGAAAATTTTTTATCTAAAATTTGTATGTTTAATGCAAAATAAATGATGTTTATATTCAAAATGATCACCAAATTATAAGAATTCCAGCAATGTAAATTATATTCTGACGGGTAATTTGTATGAATTTTATGAGCTAAAACAAATATCTTCAGTTAATAAAAAAAAAATAATCTTCACGACATATCTGTCAATCAAAGTACCTTGCCTCCCCCCTCTTCAACCAGCGGTCAGTCCCAACCCTCCCCACCCACCAATCCTCCCTTCAGAGTTTTTAACATTTAGTATTAAATAATACCTCAGAAAAGTTAGGATAATATAATTGACATTGCTGGATTCCTTGTAAGACTAGGAATATTTTGAATATAAATGTCATATATTTTGCACAAAAGATAACATAGTTAATTTGAGAAAAATTTTATCTAAAATTTGTATGTCTAATGCAAATATATGATGTTTATATTCAAAATGATCATCAAATTATAAGAATTCCAGCAATGTAAATTATATTCGAACCGGTAATTTGTATGAATTTTATGAGCTAAAACAAATATCTTCAGTTAATAAAAAAAAAAAATAATTCTTCACGGGGTAACAGATGGTCGGTCGGTCCCTCCCTCCCCACCCCACCAACCGTCCCAAGGAGATGTGTGGGATAACCACTAAATTTTAATAAATAATACCTCAAACTAAAGTTAGGATAATATAATTGACATTATGCAGTTCCTTGTAAGACCAGGAATATTTTGAATATAAATGTCATATATTTTGCACAAAAAGATCATAGTTACTCTGAGAAAAATTTTTATCTAAAATTTGTATGTCTAATGCAAAATATATGATGTTTATATTCAAAATGATCACCAAATTATAAAATTCCAGCAATATAAATTATATTCTGGCGGGTAATTTGTATAAATTTATGAGCTAAAACAGGCAGTCAGGCAGGGTGGCGGTGGGGCAAATCTAAAAATAAGCGTCTCGGGCGGACACTCCACAGCGTATATGTGGAAAAAATCCGTGTTAAGTGAAAGTTCAGCTCTGGCAGCACGCGTATATGATAAAAGCGTTAAAGTGAAACAGCGTTAAGTAGGGGTAATATATATATATATATATATATATATATATATATATATATATATATATATATATATATATATATATATATATATATATATATATATATATATATATATATATATATATATATATATATATATATATATATATATATATATATATATATATATATATATATATATATATATATATATATATATATATATATATATATATATATATATGGAACCAGTTGTGTTTGTTAATCGAGGGACCACTGTTCTATTTTCGCATTTTCGACTTACAACCAATTCGACTTACGACCTGATCGTCGGTCCCTAACCCCGTCGGAGACTGACTGTATATAAATATTGCTAAGTACATTAACTAATTCAATGGATATTAGCTGTCCCTACTACAAATTTCATAGTATAAACATTCCAAGCAATATTGGTATTAATTTGGTTTTGGTCATCTGGGGAACCTTAAGATTCTAACGATGGGATTAAGTACTTTAAACAATAAGACACTTTATCTGTACGGAATTTCTGTCGCAAAACATTTTTCGATCGCATAAAAAATACAGGTCAGATGTTAGGTTAGGTTAGATTAGGGAATGATAAGTTATATTATAAGTTATAAGATTAGCTTAACATACATCGGTAAGGAGGGGGGGGGTAGTAACTCAAAACTAGTTATTTCCAATAGAAATGAAGGTCTAAATTGCTTATAACACATCGCAAACCACCAGAAAAATCATAGTCTGCATGTCTAAGTACAGGGATGACCAAAACTTAAAATTTACCAAATATAACCTATCATGAATCTAAGCATCCAAATACTTATGGTAGTAAAAGTAAAATTTTACCCATTAATTAATATAAATGATGATATATCCCAGTGGTTCATTAGTGAATCATTCAAAACAATAACAGCACTATGTTGTCATGTTTACGTAGCATCAGGCATTATCAAAACAAAGTCCAGACAATGTCATTACTTCTCACTTGACTTGTATCTCCATCCCTGCGTCGTGTGCTGAGAGGGTGGTGACGTCATTGCAAATGGCGGCCCTGTTTCTAGAGAAATAAACTTATCTTGACTATTATAGCAGGACTTTAATCTTTTATTACAAATTATATACTGTATACCATATCACTCTACAGAGTGTACTTCTTGTGTTTACCCAGAACCGACAACTCGTCCATTACACACCGAGGTTTATATAAAAATCCCTTGCCATCTGATTTACTGTACAGGTATCCCTCGAGGTACGAACATTCGAGATATGAAAATTCGCTTATATGAATTTCCTAAATTGACACCTCTATTTTGTGTTACGAAAGCTTTCCCCACTTATACGAATTTGAGTCTGGGCAAAAATTCAACTCGCACGTCCCTGGAAGTCAGCTGGGGCGGCCACATCCCTGTAGTATTCACTCAACTGGGCTGAGGTAGGAGTTATGTTATGAGTATTTTTAATTTGTAATTTTGGGTATACAGGTGCTCCTCTACTTAAGAACGTTCAACTTACAAACTTTCAGAGATACAAACATCATCACTGAGGGGGGTTACCTGTCAGAACAGGTGTTTAATGTGGATGAGACTGGATTATTTTGAAGAAAATTCCATATAGAACAAACATTACCGAAGAGGAGAAGAGTGAGCCAGGTTTTAAGGCTGTATTAAAGGGTATAGCCGTACTAAATATCGATAATCTTTTAAATTTTTACAATATGTTTGGTATCTACAAGAGCAAAATTGGACTTACAAACAAGCCTCAGGAACGTAACTCGTTCGTATGTAGAGGAGCACCTGTATAAACTTAACTTTTTTCATAATTTCTTATTTTACTCAGTTACATGCACAAAGAATTCTATACTGTATATATAATGTGTAAAATAACTATCATAAGGTAAAAAAACATAAAGGGAATAAATATTTCTTTTTGTGTGTCGGTCAGCAGAAGTGGCTGGGTTGGTTGCTATGGTGACGCTTTAGGGCAGCCACGCGTGAAGCAGCCAGTGTCTAAGCAAATGGTGCCACTAGCGGCTGTGTTAAACTTTGATTTAGCATTTCCTTAATAGTTTTAGCTGCATATTTTCATCTAGAATTCTATTTAGTATTTTCTTAATGTCTGTAACGTATTAGGTAGTGGTGTAATATTTATCATTAGTTTGGTAGTTTTTTTGGGGGTGTGTTTTTTGGGGATATGATATAAGAGTATTTTTGTCATTAGGGAACCGAGCCTTATTTTTCCCATATGTTTTTCCATTCCCGATATGAAAAATCACTTAATGATTTTTTTTAAACATAACCCATTCATATCTCAAAGGATACCTGTATTAAAAATTACAAGTCCAGCTGCCAAGTGGAGAAGCAGTTCCCTTCCTGGTACACTGCAAATATCAATAAAGTACAGTACATCTTTTTCTGTGCCTACTGTATAAAGAAGTTAAAACAAGACAGAATACAGAACATTCCCAAAGTACCACAATGATTACAGTAGTATCTCATATATACGTACAGTAGTTGGACAAGTTGCATAGGGAACATTTCCTTATTCAAGCCCCTATACTGTACTGTATTTCTTCAATGATTCCTTATATATTTCAACTCACCTGTGGTTCATTTCCTCCCATTTCTCTTCTCATTCGAACCATCAGTTCATACACTTGCTTGGCTGACTGACCTTTGCCATATATGTTAGGAATAAGACCGAAAACGCCCTGAATGGTCATCAGAGCTTGAGCTACCAGGAAAACACTTGTAGGGTCACTATCCAACTGCAAATCCTGAAAGAAAATAAAATGTTTCATATATCTATCTGGAGTACTGTATTAAGAATTGACAGTACTGTATAGGCCCAGGTACATATACAAATACTGTAATGGCAAATATGACTCGATAAATTGCATAGAAAACAGATTCTCAAACTTAGTCTTGATAACAATGAAACACAGTTGTACAAATTTAATCTAAATCTGTAAGGTCTTTCTCACGATACTGCGTGAAACTTATGCCTCATACAGACAGACAAGACAAATTTCTACACTCAACACCCAACAAGAACCATAATTCTGATAAATAAATACAAAAAACCCCACTGATTATCATTCTCTACCAGATACTAATGATATGAAGTTGTTGCAGTGACCACATTTCATTCAAATTTGAAAACTTATTAAATTATTTGGCAGAAATATTTTGTATACAGTAGTTGAACAGTGGAATAGATAGGTATCTGTTATAGTACTTCTACGTCTCTCTACTGAAGTTTTAATTTAGTAAGTTTGCTGTGGAAAAACATGCTGCTGTAATACAAATACTGTAAAGGTAGACTGTACTGTACACTGGATACTACAAACTTACAAAGTACAGTAATACAAACTAACCCGAAAGCAGAGAGGCAATTCCATGGACACCAAGTCACAGTCCAGTCTAAACAGCAACAATGGCAGCTCTCTAACAGTTGTGAATGATCCACGCACTCCATGTTCTTGTAGTCGGCGCTCACACAAGAGGGATATCCTTGGTACCAGCCATAAATGATAATCCTTTTTGGTACTTCCTTGAAGATCTTCCCTGTAATAAAATGTTTGCTTAACAACTTTCATATTACAGTGATAACCCCGTTAGCCGGAACAATTGGTGCTGAGCACTTCCTTCTGGGGATGAGAGATTTTTGGGTAACCATACAGCTTTCTCAAACCTGGAAAAATTCCTTATCCCCGGAATCTTTTCCAGTTACAGTACTGGAAAAGTTTCCGGGTATCTAAACTAGACATCTTGCACAGACGCACACTAGCCCACTTCCCTAGAACATATTTGGGTGCTGGGGATGTTTTGCTCTAGTTTAATTAAGTTAGAAACTCCATTTCTTTAGTATAATAATTCAGAATAGTTTATCTAAAAGTATGGTTAAATAAATATATTTAAAAATTAAAAATCTATATATATGGGCATGAATGAAGTTGTGTGTTACAGCAAAGACTGGTATTTTCCACTCCCATGGAGCTGTGGGGGATTAGTGGGTCTTGTGAAACTGACCTGACCTGATGCAGTATCAGGTGGAGGTAGGGTGAGGGATTAGCAGGTCTCATGACCTGAAGAAGTCTTGAATAAAGATAAAAGCTCTAGTATTTTTTAAGGAGATTGTGATAAGTATAAGTATAAATGAGCAAAGTTGTAGTCCTTCAACATTATGGTACATCATATTTTTAAATATGGAGTGAGAAAGCAGAAAGATGTGGGTAATTAGAGAGATGGAGTGGAAACGAGTGGTAACATGCACCAGTGTTGCCAAGCGTTCCACAACAACTGATGTTTACCTCACCACCAGGCAGTCACACAACAAGACCCTCACCCTCGAAGCCTGTTGTCTTAATTCCCGTGTGTGTGTGTGTGTGTGTGTGTGGAACACACATCGACTTCACATCCCCAACAGCACCCACACACCCCAACATCAAACACACACACCCTACAACACCAACAACACACCCTCCAACACCACATACACACACACACTCCAGCCTCGTGTGAGACTCAGTGCCTTGCTTCATTGCCACCGTTCTTTATTTACCTGTACAGTATTAAGTATTATAGACTGCATTCTGGTATGATCAGCCTCTTATGGTGTATGTTTCATCATTGATAATATAAAATATTAAATATTACTATGAAAAAAATGCAATATATAATCAACAATTTGCATAAAAATTAAATGACAAGCCAAATAATAAGGTAAAAATAAGTATTTGACTGTATATGAAGGGTACTGGCACTAATAACCACAAATCATTACAGTAAAATATCTTTACTAATTAATAAATAACAAATAAACAATATTTTGTTGAGTTACAGTAGGAATGACAGAGGCAGGGGTAATGTTGAAGGGATACAGTACAGGTGATAAATAATAAAAAAAAATATGATATATTAATTTGTATAATGATAAGAACATCTGTGGTAAATTGAACAAAATCAAACAACTCCTTCTGGTGGTAGCGGTTTCCTCACACATTACTGACTAATAAATTATAGATAATATGAATTATATTAAGATACTGTACAAAACTGTGTATAGCCAGGGAGAAAACCGACACACAATCCCAGATGAGCTACCGTTACGTAGTATATTCTCAGTCGCTTGTTTACTGAGCGGTAACAGCTGACATCTCTCTCCCTAATAATGTTGCCAGCACTCACCATCTCTCAATCATCATTGTTGCCACTGCTCAAGAGGGTTGATGCTTACCACAGAATCTGTCTTGAGCACTTAGTAAATAATATTATAGTGTATTTATCAGAACATGATACCCTGGTTTATTCATTGATCAGTTGTCTAAGTGCAAAAGTAGTCCTGTAGAGCCATCATGTATCGATTAATTTTAAAATAGATATTATAAGTAAAATGTTATAAGACAATGGTTTAGCAGTGCTGTTAATGATGTGTAAGTGTCTTGGCATGTCTAGCTCGTTTATATTCAAATTAATCACTACCTTACAAGAATCCCAGCAATGTAAATTATATTCTCCCAGGTCGTTTCAGTGGCATTCTATAAGAGAAAGGCTTAATCTCTCTTAAGGACTGATAAATAAACACACATTAGACCTTCAGCACCAACTGTCAAACATGTCACTGTCACCCCTCCCTCCCTCCCTCTCCCCCATCTGCCCAGGCAGGGTTTTAGGCTTACAGTTTTTATCTTATATAATATCACAGACTCAAGTTAGGAGAATATATATGCATTGCTGGAATCCTTGCAAGACAGCGAATAATTTGAATACGCATAAAGTCAGAAACACTCCTAAAATTTCCCTAAATCGCCCTTAAATCACTATATACAGTATATACGTACATATACACAAGAACTCTTAAATCACTACTGTAATGTGATAGAAATTAATCACTATCACATTACAGTAGTGATTTAAGAGTTCTAGTGTATATGTACGTATATACTGTATATAGTGATTTAAGGGCGATTTAGGGGAATTTTAGGAGTGTTTCTGACTTTATACGTATTTTGGCTTTACTTTGTATGTACTTTTCTGTGAGCTGGAACCAATTACCCAATATCCCATTGAAATACCTGTAATGGATTCGGTTAATGAAATTTTCAATTAACAAATGACTCTGTAGAACGAATTGTGTTCGTTAACCAAGGGACCACTGTACTGTATTTATACTTGCACAGTAATTATATACAGTATAGACCCAGAGCAGAAAAATCCAGCATCACCCAAAAGGTTGGTCTTCCCACCAACCACGTGAGGATGTGGCTAAACATGGCACAGTCTTTCATAATGTTGAGAACCCTTGTCCTCAGGTGCTGGTCTGGAGTGATTTTCTCACCATTTTCTCAAATTTTCCGATAATTGCGCATTACTTCATAATAATAGATATTTGCTCCCAGACCCGAAATAAAATTTTGGACAGATTTTCCTGATTTTTTATTTATTTTCAGAAAATGCTCCTGATTTTCAACCTCAACATTTGTTCTCAAACCTGGAATTAAGAGAATTTTCCAGAAAAATTCCGAGCAAATTTCAATTCCGGCTATTGGAAAGTTCCGGTTAAGAGGGATTCTGGCTAACGGAGATATTATTATTTCATTTTTTTAGGTTTTATTAATTACAGGCACAGGTGAAAGCTATAAATACTTGTTTATTGGCACTTCAGTAAACTCAGTGAGAGGGTGATTTCTACCCCACTGCTGTTATTACAGGACTGTAGTACAGCATGCCCTTACAATTCGCGTCCTTCGATTAATTATTCCTGTATGACACCCTGGATGTACCCAAGAATGTCTGCAGGTAGTTTTAAAGTTGGCAGCATTTTCACAGCCGGGACGGGGAACCCGTAAGTTTTATGGCGTCCTGCAAGGTGTCCCCCTTGTACCAGGTGGCTGGGCCACTCACTCTGCCTCAGTGACAGTCTGGGTTAAACACTTGTCTGTTTCACCTGTGTGTTACTGTGCTCCTTGTGATGGCTCCCTCAACCACCTTCATCAAGCCACAGGAAGGTGCACAAACAAGTGAAGAGAAGGTCATGTATTTCTCCCATACTGGCTACTGGAGTGAGTGACTGCTAGTTAGTGTGTTGTCTGCTGTTGTAACTCTCCTCACTCCCTGCCATATTTAACTGGATTTACTGTTATTATTAGTGTTTACTGATAGAACAGTGTTTAATATTGATTAATCATGTCATTGTATCTAGGTTAGCTCATCATTGTAATCACCAGGCTACTGGGCCAAGCTGTGAGGTGTTATGGTTTTTTCAACTCATATTTTTGGGTAGATATACGTAACTTTCTTCATTTATTTTTACTCAGTTACATGCACACACCATCCTACATACATATTGTGAAAAAAAAGGTAAAAGAAATAATTGTCCTAAGGGCAAACACATAATGGGAGGAGAGCACAGAGCGTAGCTGGTGGGGAGTGTTGCTAGGGAATCAACATTCCAGCTGGTCTTCATTATTATGGTGGAGCAGGAAGTGTATGCAAATGGCGACTGTTTTAAACTTTCAATTGGCTTTTATTAACTGGTTTGGCAATATTTTTTGGTGTAACCAATTCATTGTTTATTTTTTATTTATTCCTCACATTTCCTGGTACCGTGTATATTATTTTAAGGAAAGCTTCCGGCTGAAGCACAAAATTCATTAATTGATCAATCAATATCAATTTCCTGTCAGCAATTAAGGACACCAGATACTGTACATTGTTACTACAGGTGTATACCCCTAAATCGGTTCTACCTAATCCCTTATCCCTGATATCTTATTTTTCCCTTATATTCTTATCAATTTTCAATATCCTACTGGTCCATAATACTATAGGTAATCTACTCTTCTTGAATGTAACATATAGATATTTCTCATTATCACTTTCATATTGAGTGCATGAACTTTTTTTGCAAGCTTACATTTTTTCCTCCAAATATTTATAAAGATGAATCAGCAAATAATAAACCAAGCCAAATACAGTGGTCCCTCGGTTAACGAACGCCTCGGTTAACGAAATTTCGGTTTACGAATTACCTTCCATAAGAATCTTCAATTCGGTTAACGAAATTCTTACGAAAACGTTTCGACATGTTTTGGCTTGCTCACCAGCTGGAAGAATAGTCCACCAAAACAGTAATCGGTTCTAGGGCTTACATTCGTTAAAATTGGAGTAAATATCAAGGAGGTTGTGCTATTAAACATTTTTCCAAGTTTTATATTAAAATTATTAGTCATTTTAACACTTATTTAACATAATTGCAGTACAGTGAGTTCTGCTATAACGCGTGTTTTGACAACGCGAATTGGCTCTAACGTGATTTATGAATAGAGGAACGATATTTGTATAACGCGAACGCTTGTTTGCTGTAACGCGATTTTTGCTAACTATTTCTCCAATTTTGTGGTATTAACTGTGAATATGGTAAAGAAAAATATCTCCAAGAAGCGTTCTGGTGATCGCATTCCCGGTGATGATCGTAAAAGAAAGGCTATAATCCTTGAAGAGAAGCTCGATGTTATCAACCTCAAAATCACCCTTCTCCCCCATCAAGTTATATTCATATTTTTTCAAGGTAAAGTGTTGCATTTACTGTATGATTTCATTATTAGATATGAATGTAACATTTATTTAGACTGTGCTATCCTTTGTGTTAGGCTAACTACTAAATTTTTTCGATTTCGAGTAGTAATCTGCACCTAACCCTATTTTCTCCATAGGCCCTGTTATTTCTATTACGCGAATTTCTATAACACGATGTTTTACAAGAACACAACTATCGCGTTATAGCAGAACTGACTGTACAGGGAACTAGTTTTTGGTGTGCCCATCAGCCACCAAGGCCTCAGTTTGTATCTCTGTTCAGTGGAGGAAACATCTTGCTTGTGGGTCTCTTGAACACAGAGTATTTTTACGTTTTTACAGTATAATTATTGGTCATTCTGAAATTTATTTAACAAATTGACTATAGTGCAGTGCAGTGTTGATTTAAAGAAAATAATCTTGAATAACACCTGGTGAAGTTAAAATTTTATTGGTGAAATGACAGCATCAAGCATGGGGTGATTTCTCTTCCATCCCCACTTCCTTCTCTTCTCCTTTCTCCTTCACCCCCACTTCTAATTCCCATCATCATCAACCAGGAGCCTTCTACATACACATACACATTTTTTTTTTTACTTTCTATGTACTTTTCGGTGAGCTGGAACCAATTACCCAATATCCCATTGAAACAATGGTTTCGGTTAACGAACGACCTTCTGGAACGAATTGTGTTCGTTAACCGAAGGACCACTGTACTGTTTAAGAAAATCTAAATATTACGCTATGCACAGTATGTTATTCTACTATTTAGTTTTTGTTTTATTAGAATTGGCCCATAAATGGCCAAGCCCCTGAGATTTAAAGGTTAGAAAAACTCGTTCTGAGATACGGGCCGATAAAGGTGGCGTGAGAGCAACTCACGATTGCAGCTCAGATACTGATTTTTACTGATTGATTGGTAAGTAGTACTTTACACGAAAATATTATTATAAATACGTTTCTACAGCTTTTCCTATGTAAAAAGAAGGGCCAATTTTTTCTACATTTTGATATATTTTGTTGTCTTGTTTCTGATTATTTGTGAGAGGATTTTTCCCATTATTATTTATTTATTTGTATATCTTGATAAAATCACACGGGGAAAGGGAAACAACGGAGCGCCTTAGCTTTCGTCTTTATTCAAGACATCTTCAGAGGCAACTGAAGATGTCTTGAATAAAGACGAAAGCTAAGGTGCTCCGTTGTTTCCCTTTCCCCGTGTGATTTTATCAAGATTTATCTTATCCACGTTTTCATTGTGGATCGACATGAAATTATTTGTATATGTGTGTGTGTGTGTGTGTGTGTGTGTGTGTGTGTGTGAGTGTGTGGCTACACACATATACAGTACAGGTAAAAGAAATAACTGTCCTTAGTGACAAACACATAAAGGGAATACTGTATACATTTCTTTGCACACGAGTAAAAATGTATCCCCAGTCAGCAAATGATATTCGCGGTTTTGGCAATTCGTGGTCATTTTGAGATCCAAACCCCCATGAATTTAAAGGGCAAGCTGTACTGTACTTTGATGACCAAGGGGTTAAAAAATGTTTGGAAATTTATTGATCAGTTGTACAACATAAAAAAGCTACTGTATTGCTGACTGCTCTTCCATTATGTCACCCTGGTGAGTCAACCTGTACCGCATTTTATGCCACATAAGACGCACTCCCCTATTTCAGCAGGGAGTACACCCTGGATATTTAGGAAAAACCTTTGTGTGTACAGTATTTTCCTCCTGTAGCCATAGTTTTCTTAAAATAATATATACAGTACCAGTAAATGTGATGAATAAATAAAAATAATACCAATAAATAAGTTACAACAAAAAATACTATTGCCACACCAGTAAATAAAAGCCCAATGAAAGTGTAACACAGTCATATACAGTACTGTACTGTACATCTGCTACCTCCGCCGATTCCCTCGCAACGCTCCCCCCACCACCAACTGCCTAGCCGTCCTCCCGCTCCCACACTAAGCCAGCTAACTCGTGTACAAAGAAATGTATATTCCTTTTATGTGTTTGCCCTTAGGACAATTATTTCTTTTACTTTTTTCACAATATTAACTGAGTAAAAATAAATGAAGAAAGTTATGTATATCTACCCAAAAATACGAGTTGAAAAACAATAGCTTGGCCCAGTAGCCTGTTTACAGACAAGTCTAACCTGGCTACAATGCCACCAGCAATGTTAACAGACACAAATGTGAAAAGAAAGTTATCTGTAAATCTTCATTTATGTCAGGTATTTGTAGACATAAAAATGAATGTTGCAGGGATGGCATTAATAGATTGTAATGCTTGTATGAGTTCAGAAATGGTTACTGCTTAGCTGCCTCTGAAGAGTTGGGTGTCTGCCGTACAAATGTTAATTGTCTCAGGTTATCGTCATCAGTACAGTACAGAGTAGTTATAGATCAACCTTTTATCTTTACAATAATAATTTTGTTAATTAATTAAAAATCTTAATCATGTTTAAATAAGGAATAACATATTTTTAATTCTGGAGTTGTGTTAGGTATAATTTAGCCTACAGGAGACAGCAACTGGGGGATTCATAAACTTATGGGAGACCACAACTTCACATATAGGACGTAGGCTGATTTTTTCTACCCATTTTTTCAGACAAAAAAGTGAGTCAAATGCCGTAAAATATGGTACATGGAGAATACTGTATACACTGTACTATACCAGAAATGTAAGCATTAATGAATAAACAGCAACAATTAAAGAATACAAAGCAATGTAAGTTGTCAAATTGAAACAGGTAAAATAATTCTTAAAAGATACTGCAGGTGATAACACTTAAAAGCAGAGGACAAACATATCATGATGGTGCATCAGCAGTTGAATATTTTTTAACCTATACAGTCAACCCTCACTTTACGCGGTCCCACATTCCGCGTTTCCACGTTTAAGCGGTGCCCTGCCGGAACTTAACATGCTCACATTCCGCGGTGCGTGTACCCCATGTTGTGTAAGCGGCGCGAACATGGTGCGCACAAGGTCACCCAGTCATCAAAACATTACCAGTTCTTCACCCGCCACCCTACCACAGCCGGCCCAAGTCAGTGATAGTGATAATTATAGTGAGGATATGGACTTATATGGACTTTGGGAGGTTTGACAAAGAGGCCCTGCAAGTCTCTGTGGTGGATAGTGATACAATTGATACAAGTGATACAGGTGAGGGCCAATAATCTGCCCTCTGCCTCGGAACCAACCGCCCATCCCCGTGTGCCCAGCCATCTTTTCTACTAATGTAAGTGTTAAAACACCTAATATTATTGATATTTCTCTTAATTATTAATTGTGTGTGCATACCATCATAAAGTTAAGATAATATTTTTACTACAACATAGTTGTGTGTCGTCAAAAGGTGGAGTTTGGGGGTCGGCCCGGACTCTATTTCAATTAATCCCATATGTTATGTTATTCACTGTACGCGTTCCTCACTTTCCGCGGCACCCTGTGGGTTACATTAACCCCGTAAAGTGAGGGTTGACTGTATATTTCGAAAATGAAAAGCCAACTATTTGGGGAGAAATTAAAATGGCATAAATAAGCAAGAGATACTGTACACCCTCAAAACATAAATACTGTACTGTACAGTTTTATGGTAGGTTAATTCATTCTTCCTCTGGTTATAACTCATTAGTCAATTTGTGTATTTCACCAGGACTGGATAGAACCTTTTGTCTGATAAGACACATTAAAGAGACACACACAATGAGATGAGGTATATTATGGGCACAATACTGTACTGTACTGTATTGTATTGTATCAGACAAAGGAAGACCAACTGTCATACAAAGTACAATAATGGGTGCAGAAAATGCTATGAATTCCTTAAATAGTTTGTTCTTACATTCTCAACTGCTGGTTGATTTGATCCATGATCGATGTGTGAGGCCGAGCAAGAAAGATAATATGAGCAACATTGCTTGGAGGAAGCTTATTGGCCGTGATGTAAAACATCTTGCAAACATCATGAGTTCGCAGGAAGGCATAATCAGCAACATGACTGAAGGCTCCTGCAAGCTTTTCATCCCACACAACGGCCTGCAAGAGAAAAATCCTTTGTTAGGTTGAAAAAAATGAGTTACAGTCTGTCAGAAATGAGTAGTTATGGAGATATGACCCCCCCCCCCCCACAAATACCAACAATATTGGTTGTATTAAGTGGGCAGGGCTTTGAAGTAGAGGAAAATTGTGAGGTAAAATCACACAAATATCTGACAAAAAGCAAAACTTCTTAACCAGAGAAACCAGAAGGAACTGACTTTACCTCCTAGCCACCCCCGTGTATAAAAACCTATCTTAATTAACAGATGCAGGAGGATAAAGTGGTGCCACTTGAATGATGAATTAGTGCAGTATGGTGTAAGGAAAGCATATCTTGCTTATTGGAAAATGAAAAAATTATGATACCCTACAACAATATTTCAAACTGGGTGTGTTAGCCACAGCTTCGCACACGAGCCTTTTTCTGCTCTTATGGACCCGTGAGGGTGAGAAATGAATAAAGTTCAATGGGACGGAGAATTTTCAAGCATGGGAGACACTCACCCCACACCTATACCTGTACTGTGCTTCCAAATTGTGGAGTGAAAAATACACTGAGCATTCTAGAATTCTTCATATGATGAGTACAGTATGTTTTTCCGGTGCATCAGTTGTGGTGCATCTATGGTAGGGGCTGGAAGTGCCTGTGATTAGTCTTGTCAGATGCAGACAAAATGAAGCATGAGAAACACGCCCGTGTGAACACAGGCCTTCTCCCACATGGGTCAAAAACACTTGAGAAGAGTAGGTCCAAGTAGAGCCCTGCGTAATGAACATGTGTCACCAACCACCATCACTACATCACCTTACCTCTCTCCCTACAGGACCAACCCCTGAGATGTGTTGTAATTTTTCAACTCATAATTTCAAGTAGATATACGTATTTTTATTGCATTTCTTTTACTGTTACATCCACACACAATTATTCATACAGATTGTACAAAATATAATAAAAACGAAATAAATGATTATAAGGTCATAAAAAGATAATGAACATTTCTAACGACCGCTGGAGTCGCCCAGATTGTGTGAGAAGGGAGCGGTGGAAGAGATCTCAGCCACTCCAGTCTCCTGTGTGTACAAAAAAAAAAAAACATAATTTGTTGTAAGTTCAGCAAGCTAGAAAAAGGTGCTGCTCCCTCACAAATATGGACTGAATATGGAATTTCAAAGCACTCAGACTCAGAGTGACTGCAAGACTCTTACAGTCAGAGGCATGTACAGCTGGATCTGCCTTCCATTTTTGGGGTAAGTGTACAGTACTTTGTGTGTACAGGGTATTACTTTTTTTTATTAAAAAAAACATGTATTTCATTCATAAAAATTGGAACATTGGTGTTGTACTTTTTTTTTTTAATAGATTTTTTGGGAGAAATTTTTTTCTCAGGTGGACACCCTCTTATCCTGGACACCCCTTCCCCCCAATTAGTCCACCTTAGTGAGGTTTCACTGTATTGCCAACTGGCAATGTGGTATTTCTTTCTTTTATTTTATTTATTAGCATTTTTATTCAAATTCTCTTACTCTGTTACATACACACACAATTCATCATACAGAATGTGCCCCCCCAAAAGAAGAGTATCATAAGGTAAAAAACATGGATAAACATTTATGTCCACAATAGTGAGTGTGCGATTGTGGGAGGGGAGAGTGGGGTGAGGGGGGGGAGAGGTAGTGGTGACTAGTGGTCAAAGGAGTGTGGTGGTTAGTGTGAGGTAGTAGTGGTGACGAGTCACGCTGTCTAACTGCATAGGTGAACAAGCACCAGCTTGGGAGATTTATCGATGGAACATTAATGGTAAATAATTGATTTCTTCGGTAATGTCTGAGAACACCACTACCACCAAAAGGAGTTGTTTGACTTCGTTCAGTTTTTCCACACATGTTCTTATCATTATAGTAAGTATTTTAAATTAGTGACAATACTAGAACCTGACCTAACCAACCAAAGAAACCTACCTAATCATATCTCACTTCTTATATGGGTGGCTCCCCCAGATCCCCCACCATATTAAACAGAAAGTATTTATTTTGATATATGGTACCAATGAAAGCAACTTTGTTGAAGCATCATGGTGCAATTAAAAAATTTTTGTGGATGTGAGACTACACTCAGACCAAGCAGGTCGGTTGTGAACAAACAGACGACACGCAGTAACTGCAGATTTACGTTAATTTCTTACGTGAATATACTTTCTCGGTTAATATCCATTTGCGATGGAACTGGTATTAGAAAAAGTTGTTCCTGTTGACAAGATATAACTAATGATTATTGACAACAGACCCGTGGCCGACGTTTCATAGAAAAAGATTTTAAAAGCGCCACAATTTCACCGTTTTTTATAGTGGACACTGTTGTAGTTTGTGCAAATGTGTTAAAAAGTGGTTATTTCTATATTAAACTTCACCTAACATTAGTTGATAAGAAAAACATGCGGCAGAAGCATTGTTAGAAGACCTTACCAACCTAACTAAACAAATCTACCTAACCTTATTTAACTTCCAAGCCGGGGGGCTCTGCCCCCCAGACCCTCTGGTATATTAAACAGAAAGAACTTACTATGATATGGTGTAATTTTACGCTTTTTTGTGGATGTGAGAGCAGCCGTTCCTACCAAACGGTTCATAAGCATACACTGAGCATTGGCTGTTTACAACCTGGGATGAGACATCACTGCCACATTACCGCCTAGGTGCCTAATTATCTACAAAACGAAGCATTTGCACAAGAAATCATTATCATATCAGAATTCACTAATGAAAATAGAGTAGGAATAAAAACAGCAAAACAAATAACTCGTCCACGGGTCAGTTGTCAATATTAACCCAGTTGTCAATAATGACCTTATTTTAGTATTTTACCCCACATTTTCCCTCAACTTCAAAGCCCTGCCCACTTTAAACAAGTAATATTGTTGGTAATTTTATCTATTAAAATACTCGAAAAATATAAATTTCCGACGGAGATGCCATAGAAGAAAAGTGTCTTAGAATAGACTGAACTATGTGAAGAACGTGTTTTTTGTGGAGAAATCGAAGCATGGCTACCATCATCAATTGACCGTACGAGCCCTAACTTCACTTGGCTCTGCACACCTGAAATCATTAATGGTAAAATTGCAGATTACAGCAGCCAAAGAATTTGATAAAACAAATGTGTTACCTAACCAAACCTAATGTAATATATAAAAAAAAAAATGATCATTGAGTGTAGTGAATTTCCGGAATTCTGTGGTTGCTGTTTACTGCGGGTCCGACTAATTACCCAAATATAGCCGCAATGAAGTCAAATAATGGTCCTACATGAATAAATCGGACTGCCAATCACTTCTCGACTGGTATTTGGTGTCACGAAGTCACAAAAAATTGGTAAACTTAATTTAATCCGAGTTAATAGATCGAGTGCATGTACCTAACCTAACACAACACAACTCAGATTAAATTAAGTTTACCAATTTTTTGTGACTTTACGACACCAAATAATAATCGAGAAGTGATTCACAGCCCGAATTACTCTTGTAGGACCATCATTTGACTTCATTGCGGCTACATTTGGGTAATTAGTTGGACCGGTTTACTGCAATATTACCGTATTAATTTATATTGAATTGCAATTTAAGGACCTATATACACAGATGGCAACATTTAGAGTATTACTTCATCAACTGAGTACAGTACATACGCCCACTATCAACATGACAGTGTATCAGATCATTCATATGTAACTACTATTACTTCTACACTCTATAAATAATTGTCTTATACATATACCTTAGTGCCAGGAATAGAGTCTAGCAGTTTAACGAGCTCTATCCTTGTTGCTTCCTTTATTAAGGCGAAATCCACTTTACCCCCAGTCATCTTCTGCACCATAACACAACACAGTAATATATATCCTGAACAAAGAAAAGTTATTAAACCAACACAAAAGCCCATAATTAATGTCAAATTTTAAGTTTTAAGACCAGAATTATTACTTAAAATAAATTGAAAATTAATATACTTTTTTGCACTGTGGAAATATTAACCACTAAGGTAATAATAAGTATATCCTAAACTATTATTTGTATTTGAGTTGAGCATTTTTAAAACTTTAGATTTCATGTAAAGGAATTTTTTTTGAAGATATGTTTGTTGAAATAAACGGAGATTATTTTTCTTGGTTTAGTCCTTCAGAAAGACCAAACAAAATATATGTACTTCTACTTCCCCCGAATACTCAACAGCCTGGGTTATTTACTGAATATTTTATTTTTTAACCTATATTCTCAACCTAACTTAAAAATACATATCAATCATAAAGCAGTATTTTTTTTTAAGTTAATTAGATTAATTCAACTGGTTCTTATTTGAAAATTAACATTGATTACTTTCTCAGTTTTTTGGCGCTACATTGAAGAGTAAAATAGTATAGATCCAGGCGCTCACCCCGTAGTCCTGGTGACCCATTAAAGGCTGTGCAGACCTGAGACTAAAGACTCCTTGGTGCAGAAACAGAACAGCACAATTGCTTCAGGTGAGAATCAGCTACTCTTTGTCAAGAGAAGCGTACAGTACATGTACTGCACTGTCTATATTTGGGTGCCTAGTGTAGAGTATACAATTTCATGGGTGTTAAATCATACAGGTAGATTTTTTTTATTTGGGAGTGGCTATTGAGCCAGGTCGAACAGCAAAAGCTCAAAAGCTATTGAGCTACGTTGGGGTACGTGATGTTTGGGTTCACACTCAGGATGTGCTCTCTGTATACATGTTGTAGGGGTATCGAGATATTAATGTTGTCTAGCACTCAGGATGGAAGGAAACTCTAATGTGGTTTTTCTTGTATAATATAAGTAATGATAGACAGTCTGGTGCTGGAGGTACAGCGTGGAGCTTGCTGGAGGAGGTGTTGATTGTTCAGGAAGATGGGCAGAATGAGAGTTGGTTGGTGAGGAAGCTCAGAAGGACAGCTGGTGGGTCGCCATGCTCGCTGGCGGGACGGACCGCCAGGCAGGCGGAGGAGGAGGTGTTGCTTGTCAAGAAGAATGGTCAGAATGAATCTCGATGATGATGATGAAGGACAGCTGGTGGGTCGCCATGCTCGCTGGCGGGAGCGAGGACTGCCAGGCAGGCGGAGGAGGAGGTGTTGCTTGTTCAAGAAGAATGGTCAGAATGAATCTCAATGGAGAGACAGAGCTTATATACCCGCAGCAGCCGCCAGTCCTCTATGAATCATGTTGGGAAAACCAGAAAGTTGCCGGTGAGTAGTTTCGTTGCTAGGCAACCATACCATCTGGGGACAGCTCTCATAGGAGACGGCACGTCGGAATGCGTGGAGGTGCCGTGGTGGCTGTGGCTACGCAGTTGTAGGAGACGTCCACTAATGTTGTATTGATGTACAATGCAGCTTGGTGCTGGGAAGGCAGCGTGGTTACAAGCGTGATGTAGAGAGCTGGTTGGTGAGGATGCTCAGAGGAGGAGCTGGACGGTAATGCCATGCTCGCCGGGGATGGCGGGACCGCCAGGCAGGCGGAGGAGGAGGTGTTGCTTGCTGCGACTGT